AAGATGCGTAAAGAGAAACCCTCAGAGGGCTCGGCGGAAGCCGAGCATAGGACCGGCGGAGAGAATGCTCCTAGCTCTCTGTCTCGAGCCGGTAAGTTCACTCTTGTGCCGGAATCGTTCTTGACCATTGATCTCAGATGGGTCTCAGAGAAAGAGTCTTCTCGAGAGACACTTCAACGATATTAGATCCGATGACGATTTTGAGGACAACGAAAGTGACAACGGCAGCAACGAGGTCGACAATGGCAGTAACGCGGGCAATAACGACAACGATGGTGATGACGAGATTGTCGACGAGAGTGGTGTCTCCGGTGGTGCCATCGATCCCAATCGGCCTTCTCGTACCGAGTCTGCTTCAGAGAAGTCCTTCATGAAGGCCATTGGTACGAGCTTAGTGAAGCTTCTCAATAAAGCGGCCAGTGGCAAGTCCTCATCGGGTAATAAATGGCACTGGCCTACCCTTCACAAGCGCCTCGAGAAAGTTGACATGGATTCTATGGATCGATTGCTTATTCGCCAATGTGCTCTCGGCGAGGTGGACAAGGATCCTTCCACTCTCTTCAACAAGGACATATGGTTCTTCGCCGTCGTTGGTGACGACAGGTCTTTCGGGGGCTTCATCCAGGCACTTATGTCGTGGTTGTGGGTAGCTCTGCTACAGGGTGCCGCCTTCGGCGACGTGTATAGCCACGTCATGCATTGCATCAGTGCTGCTGGCTTCAAATCGCCCTTGACCGGGAGGAATGCTGGTACTGTGGTCGCTATACAGTACGACGAGCAGATGCGTAAGGATGCCGGGTGTGCTATGGCTATGAGCTCTCTTTCGATAAGGGAAGCCTGTTCTAGCTTGTCCCGCCTCGATTCCAATAGGCTGATACTACTTATCGGTAAGGCCTCTGATAACCACAATAAGTCATCTTATAACAACAAATCGTCCTACAATAACTCTAGAGGTGGAGCTCACCGTTACGGTGGGAAGAAGAGACCCTTCACTGATGAGGGCGAGGAGCTTTGGAAAAAGGTTAACGGCAAATGGGTCAAGGTTCAAGGCTCGTCGGCTAGTGGCTCTAAGGAGGCCAAATCTGGCGATGTAAGCTGAGCCCTTTTCTTTTCCCCTCACTCCTTCTTTTATGGTCATGTCATCGTCTCGCCCGACCACTCGAATTTAGGTTGTGTTGTTCAGTGTTCACCCGCGGACGTGACCGTCTTTTGGGAAGCGCAGAAGTTCTTATCGGGGGGCTCCTATCACGGGTTCATTGGGGTCCGGAT